GCGCGGGACGCCCCGCCACTCCCAGCGGCTCGGGACGCCCCGCCAGTCGCAGCTCCACGCCCAGCAGGGCCACAACCCCTTTGCGCAGCACGGCGGGCCCGCGGCCGCGCCGGACGCGGGCGCGGCGCAGCTGGAGGAGCGCGCGGGGGCGCTGCAGGCGCGCTGCGCGGCGCTGGAGGAGCAGGTGGGGCGGCTGCGTGAGGAGCTGGCGTCGGTGCGGGCCACCAGCGAGGCTATGCTGGAGGCAAAAGACTCTGACCTGCTGGCGGCGCTGAGGAAGAACGCTGCGCTCTCGGAGGAGCTTTCCGCCGCACGCCAGGCCGCCGCGTCGCAGCAGCGGCAGCAGCAGCAGCAGCAGCAGGAGCAGCGGGCCGCTGCGACGGCGGCGGCGGTGGCGGCCGCGCGGCAGGACGGCTGGGGGACGGGGGACGGCGGCGAGGACGCGGGGGATGTGTGGGTGGACGCGGCGAGCGCGGGCTTTGTGCGGCGGGGCAGCGTGGGGGGCAGCAGCGCGGGCTTCGGGGGCAACGGGCTGCTGTCACCGCGCGGCCGGCCGCAGAGCCTGGGCCTGCCGGGCAGCCTGCAGCTCCTCGGGAGCGCGGCCCCCTCAGAGCCCGGTGGGTGGGGGCCGGGGACAGCAACTGGGCACTCCCTGCCGTTTCGCAGAGGCCGCCTCAGCGCTTCGCAGCCTGCTCGCAGCTGCTCACACAATCACAATCAGCCGCCCCATTTCGCGTCCCCCTTCCCCCGCCCCTATTACCAATTCCAGTCGGGTTCGTGGACGCCACTCTCACCTTGCCCGTCTTGAATCACTACACAACCCCACTAACCCCCCATCCATCACCACCAACCACCACCAGATATCCTCGAGAGCATCTTCGCCGGCGGCGCCCCTCCGCCGCCGCCGGGCCCCGGCGGCGTCGTCGGCGGCGCGCCCTCAGAGCTCACCGCGCCGGCCAGCAGCAGCGGCCTGACGGCGCTGGCCGGCGGGGCCGCGGCTGACGACGGCTCCGGGTATGGCGGGGGCTCAAGCGCCTTTGCCGCCGCCGGCGGCGGCGGCGGCGGTGACCACTCGCTGCTGGTGGCGGCGGTGGCGCGGCAGGCGGCTCGCGCGGGGGCGCTTGAGGCGGCGGAGCGGCGGGTGCGGCAGCTTGAGAGGGAGGTACGGGGTCTGTAATCTGTTGGTGTGCTGCCATGCTTGCACCGGCAGGGGTCCGCCACGCTGACGGTGTGAAGGTTGCGCGTTGGCGTCAGCTGTTGGGCGTGGCAGACGGGTGTGGTGCGGCAAGAATGCCCAGTTCGTTTTGCATCGTTGTTGTTACCTGGTTCGTCGCCACCCTGTGTGAGGCGTCCACCCCTCTCTTCCACAAACAGCCCCACACACCCCGCCCAACCCGCACCCCCCGCGCACACGTGCGCGAGCGCAGACACACACGCACACACACACACACACGCACACACACACACACACACACACAAACACACACACACACACACACCACACACACACACACAAGTGCGAGGCCCAGCGCCCTCCCACCGCCTCCCCCCCCCCCGCCCCATGCCCTGCAGGTGCGCCTCCACGAGGCGCAGGAGGCGGCGCTGAAGGACGCCCTGCGCGAGAGCGAGCGCGCCACTGCGCGGTCCTCCCGGGCCTCAAACCCCGTCGACATGGAGTACATGAAGAACACTCTCATCAAGGTCGGTGTTTGTCGGGCAGGGTGTGGGAGTTGTGGTTTTGCGGGGCAGCCTCAGGGGTGTGCCCTGGTGGGGGCATAACGGCCTGACGCGAGCGTGTGGCGTGTGTTTGGCGGGCGGAATCTCTCTTGGAGGATGGCAGAAATCAGGCAAAGTGGCGGCTGGACAGGGTGGATGAGGCCGGGACAAGAGTGGCCGGCACAAGCGGGACCCGGCCCCTGCACGCAGCCGCTCGTGCTGCTTGTGCAGCGCCCTGCGTGTGCACGCGGCAGCGTCCAGGGTTGGCCGGTCGCCCCTGCGCCGCGCTTGCTCACGCCTGCCCCCCCCTCTCCCGGTCCCTCGGCCCCGCCCGCCCGCAGCTGTTCCTGACCGGCGAGGCGGAGGCGCTGCTGCCAGTGTTTGCGTCCATACTGTCCCTGAGCCCCGAAGAGGTGGCGCGCTGCAGGGAGGGGGTGGAGGCGCTGCAGCGCGCGGAGGTGCCCATGGCGGCGGCC